ACGGGGAAACTGAAAAGAAAACATACATTTTAAGGAATGACAATAAGGTACTCGACACCCATTTCAGGTTAGGTTCGTTTTGGTCAATCTAAATCTTCAGACTCAGTTTTTTCCAGTATTCAGCAGTGATTCTTTGAGCTCAGTTAACTTGAAGCATTTAGGCAAAAACTGTTCTCCACAGCTGTGCTGTCACTCTTTATTTCTATTAAATCTTCTCTCCATACATCAATGAAAAGAGTTTTAAGATTTTGACACAGTATTCAGGTTGGAGTTTACCTGCCTGTTCATCTTATGTTGATTTCTCTAACAGAAAAGTGCTCAAAGTAAATGCCATAAAAACCAAAGTGAGGTGCAGACATAGGAGGTCAAGGAAGAACTGCATAAACATATTTAACAGAAAATGTACTTTAAAAAGTTCTATTTCATGTCTTCAGTGTTCTGAAGTCTTATTAGTCGTATGATCTATTCAGAACATGTTTATGAAGGTTTTTCCACAAAATCCATCTCACATAAAGCAATTTCAGTTGTTTTATTTTGTCAGTTTCGGTACCATCCAGAATGAACCGCTTCAGGGCTGTCTCTTTAACAAAAAAACAAAAAAAAAAAGCTGGAGCTGACCACGCCAACCCCTACCTGCTATAAGCTAAGCTCAGATATCTGAGGGGGGTGCAGAGTAGTGTCGCTCCTCCAGCAGTAGCTTTCTCTTGCACGTGAAAGGTGATTCTATACTAATTTCCCCATTTGTGACATCACAAATGGGGACTTTTTGAAAGAACTTGTTTTAAAGGTGCACTTTGCATTTTGAGCTATTTTTATGACCTCCTAGAGTCTGTTAGTAATTCACTGCAGATTAGCAGATCTCTGATCGCAGGGCCACTGCTGTTGAAGGGAGTTAAACGCTACCGGCACTTGGTACTGCATTTTCCCCAAATCAACCCACAAAATAAAGTACAGATATATAATTTGCTTCCTGATAAAAAAGAAAGCAGAGACATGATCTGTTAGTGACATCGGTACCACAGCTTGCCCTCTTCATCCAAATAATTCCATGATTAACATCCAAACATGAACACACAGCTAAAGTTCATCTATCAGTCTATTAATATAAGGCCAAGGCCTTCCCCAGAACTAGCTGCTAGCACTAGTCCTGACACTCATGCTACCTCTTACTCAAATATAGTTATTCAAAATTTCAAGCATTTAATTACATTTAAATGGAAGAGTTACATAAAATTCACCCCCCTCAGAGTTGTCATTGCTATAAACTAGATCTATTAAACCTGAGATGTGTTTTTGAACCAAGCTGTAAGCATTTTATCTCTGCTGAGTCAATGAGAATTAGCTCATTTCTGGCGCCAGCCCCTAGCGGATGAGGGTGGAACTGCAGTTGTAGTCACTTCCAAGTTGGCTTCAGGTCTGGGGTTGTCTGGTTCCCCCTTAAGCCTACCCCATAACGGAGAGCTGTCGATGATGCAGCGTACCAAAGGTCATGTATTTCATCAAAATGACCAGAAGTTCACTTACTAACACAAAGGCCATGCTCATACGGTCAGACCACGCTGACATGGTGGTGCAGATCTATATTCTTATCTTTTCTTGTGGTATATCACAAGACATTAGGACACTGCAGAAGATGCTTATCTATCTTCTCAAACAGCAAGGTTAGAAGCAGTGTATTTTCTGGTTTGAAGACCAGACAGCTAAGATGTGGCACACTGTCTATTGACCTCAGAGGTATTGGAGCCGCAGCTCTGCCCCAAATACGGACCTGTCTGCTCTGAGATGCCTTCCAGGTGACGGCAGGAAGCTGGCGGATCAATTTTGCATCTGATGCAGCTTGCAAAGAAAGTTTTGACCTTGGGGTCAAAAAGAGGATGGTTCCTTGCTTACCCAGTTGGCTGAACCGGGAAGCTCGTTAGAACTGGCTTGTTCAGGAAGTGAACAAGCTTTTATTAATTATTGTTTATCAGTTTGGACACATCAGAATTTGACAAGTTAAAGTGGGCGTTATCAAAATACCTTAGACACCACTCTTTTCTCTAAACACTTTGAGAGGTTATTCAGCCAATGTAAAGTAAATCATATTAAACTTTAACTCATTCACTGCCAGCCGTTTCCTGATCAGAGAAGCCCTTCGCTGTCAGCGTTTTTCAGCGATTTTACTGTTTTTTTAAGAGTCACAGAACGTCGCGTGCTAGGATGATGTCTACGCCAAAACTACCAAAACAGAGTTACATCAGGAAGAATTCGTGCATTTCGAGCGTTATCCGTTCTTTCATAATCCGTTTTCAAATTGTGATCAGCAGAAGCTTTTACGGTTCGCGCCTCACTTTTTTTGCAGCAGCGGCCCAAAACGACCTCCTAACACATGGATTTTCTGCTTCCTGATCATGTGACGTATGATCAGCTTTAGAGCTGGGATGTTTGTTCTCATGGTGTCGGGGGCTCGTTCCGACACCCACACAGTAAAAAAAAAAATGCAAATGAGGACTTTAGTCATTAATGGCAGTTAATGTGAAGTGAATATGTTAAGCATTCATAATAATATTATTAATGTGTGAATATACAGATAGATTAACATTAAATTCAACAAATACTAATCTGGTGTAATTTAAGATCTGAAATAAATCATTACAGGAGTAAACATTCATGTTAACCCCTCATTCATTACTGTAGAGTATTGGACACATTTTTAAATCACATATTATTAATTCACCAAAATATGATTATATAAAACGTATAAACATACAAAGTAATTTTTATATAAAGATACACTTTATTCAAAGAAGATAGATAAGAAGTCTTGCATCTTCTGCAGCGTCCTGATGTCCTGTGTGACATCACACAGGATTAGTTATGGACATGGGTCATGATCATAGACTCCATATCTGCACCACCATGTCAGCGTGGTCTGACCGTAGGAGCGTGGCCTGTAAGTGAGTTAACTTCTGGTCATTTTGATGAAATACATGACCTTTTGGTACGCTACAGTGGGTCGTGGTCAGACAACATATTCACATATATAGGATGGCTGGCCAGGCTAGATGATGACTCTCCTGTTGTGGTCGGATGTTCTTTTTACTTCTTTAGCTTCATCAGATAAATGTTTTCTTTGTCTCTTTGGAGACGCCACAGTGATAAACAGGTTACAATAAAAGCTAACCAGGTATGGCTCGTCTGTTCTGAGATGTAAACGTAGATTGCTGTAAAGTTTGACTTTGTGAGAATTCGGGGCAACGGTCTGGATACTGTGAAGTTGCAAGTGTGGTATTCTGGCCACAGAGGGCAAAGAGGGTTGAGTGACTTTTCATTAACCCTGTAAAGGGTCTTTTTAGCACATGCTGGCTCAAGAACATGATATGAAAATATCATATAAATTGCGTCGTACATCTTTAAGGAGTTATTCCTAAAACCAAACAATGACTGAAAATGAATGGAAGTTTATTTATGTTTAGGGTTTGTAGAGGCAGCAGAGACTCGTATGACAGCACAATAACAGAGATCAGAGATGGTTCTATTGCAGCTACCTCCCATTTAAGCTGGTGAGAGACCAATCAACGTAATCATGTAAAAATGTGGTGGTGGGTGAGGATAGGATGCTGTCCATCTTGGGAATGGGGATATTTTTTTTCTTCATTTCAGCTTTACATTTGTACAGAAACAGAATTTTACCATCCCCCAAACTGTATTTTGAAAATTGTGCCAGAGTGAAGAAATCTCAAACTGCCACCCTTGCAATTTCCACAGAAGATGCTGGATTTAGGATTTTATTTGAGGATTCACTCAATGACAGATCCAGGAGGATATTAATAGCTTTGCATTAGGACCTGGTCCTATTTAAGTGTCACTCATCTGTGCCGTTCACATAAAACAGGCATTTTGCAAATATACAATAGTTTTTATTATTGTTTCAGACTTGCACACTCCTGTTTATGCTGTATTTGTTTGTCGGGGTTATAGCACTACATGCAGGCCTGGCATTGTGATAACAGCGTTTAGGCTTGTTTTTGGTGTTTTTATGTAGATGAATACCAAACAATGTTTCACCATCATGTGCAGTAGATCATCTCACTCAATACCATCAAAGTGAGCCTTGAAAGTCAAGAACTATCCCTATGATTAAGTTCTAAAGTAAAAATAAGTCATCTGCTCTCCAGCAACAAATGATCTCTTACAGATATCAAGCGCCTGCCTTGTTTTAAGAAATGCCTGTCTGTGGAGTAGAAAACCAACTCTAAATGACTTTGGAAAAAGCAAATCGTTGAAGGAAACCCTCACTTCCCCGTGGAACACTTTGCCACTTAATTCCATCACAAAAAACGAGCAAAGCTCAATACTGTTTAAGTCCCCAGCACTATTAGCAGTATTGCTAATGAGGGTAATGCTAGCAGAAAAGTCCCAGAGTGTTGGTTATTAGCATTTTTGCCACTGCATGCAAGTGTTTGGAGCTCAGAGCAAAGGGAGCCCTGGAGGCGCTGTTGGGGCTCCTAGTCCTCTCTGGGGGGATTGAAAAGCTCTTTTCTCTTTTCCTTTTGGGAAGAGATATCAAATCCATGTTTCACGGTTCCTTATAAAGAAGAGCATCAGACGTTTTTACCTCAAAGTTTGTTTCCCCTGCTTGTTGCTATGTCATTGTAGCTTTGTGAACTTCAAGATTATTTTCTTTTTGCAACCTTTTCATGTCTCTGTCACTTTCTCTCAGCCTTTGCTGAAGCTTGACACATGACAAGGAATGAAACGCTGAATGCTACAAATCATTTCGATTCTTGCAAAGGATTGCCATCACAGCCACCCTGACAAACCTGATAATAGCAGATCCAAACCACAGATTACTTTGTCCTTGCCGTTTACCTTCCTTGATTAGGCAGTGTGTCTCACCTCGGTTGGCTTCTCTCAAAGTCGTTTCTTCTGGCTGTCTAATTCTTCTCAGACAAGTCTGAGTCACCTTCCATTTATCTCATCCATCTTAAGCGTCCTAACTGTCCTCTCCTGTTTTACAGAGGTTACCCAGATGACCCAATTGAGGCAGAACTAATCGATGAGCGCCACCCTTACATCCATGGCATGTACTCAGCACCACTGGCTCAGCCGGAGAGGGGGAGCATGGCAAGTCTGGACCGAATGGGTGGCCGGCGTTCGCCTTCTATTGACAGCATCCGAAAAGACCCTCGCTGGCGGGACCCTGATCTCCCAGAGGTTATCGCCATGCTAGGCCACCCGATCGACCCTGTCAAGTCCAATGCTGCTGCCTACCTGCAGCACCTGTGCTACGAAAATGACAAGATTAAGAAGGATGTGCGCCAGCTAAAGGGGATTCCAGTCCTTGTGGGGCTTTTGGATCATCCCAAGTCAGAAGTCCACCGCAAGGCTTGTGGAGCTCTGAGGAACATCTCTTATGGGAAAGACAATGAGAACAAGGTGGCCATCAAGAACTGTGACGGGATCCCAGCCCTGGTCCGCCTACTCAGGAAGACCAACGACATGGAGGTTCGAGAGCTCATCACTGGTAAGACAAACCTTTGCTCTGTCTTAACTGAAGCTTTAGAAAAGTGAGGCATGCTTATTAGCATAGGTGTTTAGCTTAGATATTCCGATGCTACACACTGCAGTTTAGTAGGTCAGTTTAATTAATGCACTCACTATAACTTTAATAAAATCAACTACTAGCATGGCTTTAACTCCTTTCTTCAGTTCAAGTTAAATAAAAGGAGCTCAGTCACAGCCAAGTGTGTAGGTCCACTAATCAGGTTTCACTTGCTTCATAATTGCTCTAAACTTTTTCCACGTAGTCCATTGCTGCTTTGAAGCCGATAGTACCTTAGTATGCGAGTCATTTCCCATCACCAGCTGCTTACTTTCCATCACAGATATACATTCTGTCCAGTTGGCTTCCGTAATCACATGCTCTGCATAGCTATGTGGTGCTGTGAGTCACGCCCCATCAAGGGAAATAGTTTTTCAATTTTATTTATATAGCACCAAATCACGACAAGAGTCATCTCAAGGCACTTCACATAATAAACTTTGTGGTCCTAATGCATACTACTCAGCACTATTGACATCTATCAACTTACACTGTGATAAGTTATGTGTCTCAGGCATACTTGATTCATTTTTTCACTAAACTGTGTGAATCCCATTATGCTGGTATGGGGAGATAACATAACTATGCATTCAAAGCAGCAATTAGTCGATCTTTTAACTGTAGAGGAGATTAATTTCAGTATATTATCTTATTATGTGCTGATAGTGCCATCTCTCTCCCTGAAATGTTACAAAGGGAACAGCTGAGTCAAAATGTAGAGAAAATAATGATGGTGTTATTTAATTACTTTGACCTCTGTGCTTTGATACTGTGAGCAGGAAATGAGAGCCTATGAATATTGATCTCTGAAGAAAAATCTGCTATCTGCATCGGTTAATGGCATGTTTTAATTCATTTAAAGAACCTGTTGATTTAGACGCTGCGATAGGATGACTTCTTACTCCTGTAGAAGTCAGCTAGGGAATATGTGTGTGTGTGTGTGTGTGTGTGTGTGTGTGTGTGTGTGTGTGTGTGTGTGTGTGTGTGTGTGTGTGTGTGTGTGTGTGTGTGTGTGTGTGTGTGTGTTGACCTGACACACATTTGCACTTCGACATCTGAGAAGGGCCATTTTGTTCTCAAGGCACTCGTGTGAAAAATGAGACACTTTAAACCCAGATTTGGTTTCCTTGTGATGTAGCTGCCATGTGAACATAAAGAATGCTCAAGAGTAAAACAAAAATAAACTATTTTAGTCAGGTCTGTTAGGGCTGCACAATGCATCGCAAATGTGTCGTCGTCGAGATATCGGCACGTGCAATAGGCTGGTCACAAAGAACAGAAAAAAATCAGCTCTAATGTTTGCTACACATAATGCATTTTGTCAATCAAATGAAAGCATGACGTTTCTGACTAATCAAATAGAGCTCTTTACCCATTTGGCCAATCGGATTGGTTCTTACAGGTTAGATGCCCGCCCCCTAGGTGGACGGCACTTAATATGGATGGCTAGCTAACACCGGAGTTAGCGTTGTTCTGCTCTTTCTGCTGATTCTGCCTTTCCCAGGATCCACCGATTGCCTTTTCTTGTTCATTTTCTTTTTCCCTTTCCTCACATCTTTTGATCTCAATTGTTCCTTTTTCCATTTTTATATTTTTTTGTAAATTAGAAAAAGTCTTTCTTTATGATTTTGTTTTTGTTCTTGAGTGAAGCATTTATTTATTGCCTTATAGTCAATATTATTCCGTTATCACACATCGCAGGTTTTTCCGATATCGTGCAGCGCTAACGTCTATAGCAGCACAGTTCAGTCAGACCAAGTTTTAGTGACCGACTGATGCATTTAACCGGAGAATATCTATGTAGATGACGGGCGAAAAAACGAGCACCAGGATGACATACAGGCTATTATTTACTCTGATAAAGTCTTTGAATTCGCCATGCTTGTTGAACTGTGGATGCAAGCGTAGAAGTGTGTGTGTGTGTGTGTGTGTGTGTGTGTGTGTGTGTGTGTGTGTGTGTGTGTGTTTCCTTTGCTGTGACAGAGATGTTGCAGTGAGTGATGATGGTGCTGCAGCAGAAATTATTGCCTTTACAACACAGTGTTGCTCCCTATTGTGGCTAAAAATAACGCTGCACCACAAGACAAGGAGGAGGGAACGGAAGAAGGCTTACCCCCACCCCCACCCCCCCGGCCCTTCTCACTCATTATTTAACCCTCCCACGCTCAGTCTCTCCTTTACTTTTTCATTCATTATCTACACACTGAGAGATTTTTTTCTGTCTTCTGCTAGTCTACTCCCTATCCAGCTTTAAGTGGTCCCTCCCAGAGTTCTGGTGCTTTTTACTAGTCAAGCTCAGCTTACGACCTCAGCTGCGGGGCTGGGGCTGGCAGAGTTATTCTGCAATTACATATCAGTCATGATGTTTAAATGTGGGCCCTTTTCCTGCTCCATGTGTTTAAGAGTTTGCTGCCTGAGTTTTTGCTGTTCCTGCAAAACCACAGTGGGCTCTGTTTTCTACCAGGGAATGGGTGACGTGAAAAGTACATATGGTTTCATTTTTCAATACACAAGACATGCAGATGAGCATTTTATATTTTTAGAAGTCAGTCCTGCTTAGAATAGTTGAACAGTTCCATTCTCTACTTGTAGTAAACTCTGGACTGTAGAATATCAAGTAGTCATGTAGGGTTTCCTCACCCTATCATGGGTGCTTTGATGTAAAGCTAAACCTTTCTGATGGTCTTTGAACCGTCTCCACACTGGAACTAACATTTCTTACATCATTCACACATTCAGGTTTTATAAATTATTTTTTGTTCCTGAAATTCCAAAAGATTTTCTGTTCCTTCACTGTGTTCTCCATAGAGATGTCCGGTATCGATATTATCGACCAATATTGGCCTTAAAATGTAATATCGGAAAATAATGGTACTCTTTTAGTGACCAAACTACCATGCACACTTATTATGCATCAAACTGTTCGGCTTCACCTCCTCTCTCTCTCTCAAAATGTCAAAATACGACCAATCTCAGGTTTAGTTTTCCGGATATTTTTGTTTGATTTGGCACAACTTGTGAATGATTAGGAATTTGCCTTGTGTAAAGTATCTGCTGTCCTTTTACAGAAATCTTGAGCACTTAGCTATGTGTAGCTTCCAGCTAGCAAACAACTAAAAGATGCACAAGAATCTTCACCCAAGGCTTTCTTTTCTTAAATAAAGATCTTTATAATACTCAGACTGTGTATGCTTGCGTAAAAAGCATTTGACATTTGTTATTTATTTATCTCACTGTTATCACAGAAGAATACATTTTCCAGTCAATTCTTCACTAGCTGAATTAGTGATTTTGAGGTAAGTTACTCAGTGAAGGTCAGTTTCTGTGGTGCAGGCGGGTTTAGGGGTTATTGAAAGACCCACGCACATGCACTACAGTTTGTTTGTATTTATCAAGTGAGCCTACCTATTTGCCTCCTTCTCCTTCTTTACCACTGAGAGTGTGATGGTTGGCAGAAGGGGGGAGGAGGAGAAAGAGAGGAGGGAAACGGTAATGGGCAGAACTAAGTTAATAGCCCTGCTTGAAGAGCAACATGTCTGCCAATGGTGCCTGGAAAATTCAATTAGCCTCAGCTACAGCTTCAGTCCCGTTGGCCGACCTCGCCCCAGCGTCACGGCCAGAGAGCAGCAAAACGGACCTTTTGAATGGATGCTATTTAATTAAACAAACACACCCATAAACACAGCTCAAATGATTTAATCTAAACTATTTTCGAAGCTTTATCTGACTGATTTCTTTTACTTGAAACTCACCCAGTCTGTTTATCCCTCTATGGTTTTCTCCAGAGATAAACAGCATTAATAAATCAGAAAGGAATACAAGTTAGTTTTTTAGATCTTGGAAGCTGTTTGACAGCTGACTTTTGTAGGGAAGTCTGGGGATTTTACTCCATGGCCGTGCTGAAGATCTCCAGCAAGCGGAAGAAATGAGACTTACTTGTGAGATGTTTAAATCCAAGGATGGCAACTTTATTTCTGCTAGACGTAGACTCTCATTGTAAACACACTCTGATCTGATGATCAACAAACCTCATCTGCATAGGGATGCTAAAGCACACAGATAAGGCTCTGTCAAAAATCTGCTTCTACAGTTGTGATAAGTTAGCTGCCATTTTGAATTTAAGATGCACTTTTATGTTAGGTTCTAAAAAACAACAGGCAGACAGATGGGTGTGTGTTCAAATCAGGTGTTAAGTGAGAGCTTGAGTTTGTGCCTCAGGCCTTTAGGAAAGCAGGACACCCCTCAGGCGTCAGTCTTCGACAGGCTGACGGGGGACAGCAAATTGACTAAAACCTGTCTAGAGTCACCGGTCTGAAACAGTGGCAGGACGCAGGATGGAGATCGTCACTTTCACGGTGCTCTGTCATCCTAAATAACACTCTGTCAGCGGGCTGTATGCCTGTCCTACTTGATGGATCGCAGCCACAGCAGACATGTCTTTTCGTCCTCTCTGGCTCATGTGATCAGTGCATCGGTGACTGATTCCACCTACCAGAGCGGTGTTTCAGCTGCAACGCTGTAGGTGACCATGAGCAGCCTGGTGTGGAAGGAATCTCAGCTGTGGAAGCCGCATCATATATTTATAAACACAGCTTAGCTCAAACAGCATTCATAAGGAATATATACTGTAAATAATGCCAATAAATATAACATCCACATGATGCGGATTGTATTTTGAGTGCTCCTTGGTTGCTGCTAATTCTGATGACACCAAGTGATCAAGCTGCCAGCTCAGCAGCCAGGCGTGAATGCTCGCTATCTGTCAAAATACCCGATCACACTTGGCTCAAATTATTCATTCAAGGTGATGGTCTTCGTCTTCGTCTTCCTCCGCTTATCCGGGTCCGGGTCGCGGGGGCAGCATCCCAATTAGGGAGCTCCAGGCCGTCCTCTTCCCGGCCTTGTCCACCAGCTCCTCCGGC